AATAGTGCGCCTTTCCCTGCTTTTCTAGTGACCTAGCGTTCCGCACTGCCGTTTGGCCAGCCCATGCTCCCGTACCGTTGCGTTTCTCCCCAATGCGCCATGCCACTTTGCCAGTCATACACACGTTTCGATGCGTGCCCTGTCAGCTGCTTGCGTTGCATGTCGCCTTGCTCCACCCCTGTTTTATTGCTTTCTCTGCTTTCGCCCGGTTCCCGTCCCGTTTCGGCGGGGAGTCTATGTTGCAAGCTAGTTCTTGCTTTACCAGACTTTAAGCCCACACAAGCAACAGCAGCGAGGCCAGGGCTAAGGCAGCCAGGAGATGGGCGGCGATCGCGGCGGGGCCGGCCAGGAGGCGACACTGCGAGGAATCGTCCTCTACCATGCGTACCGGTGCGTGTGCAGCAGGCACAGGCCGCGACAGGTAACCAGGGAGAAAACGAACTGGTCAGCGGTAGCCTGGAGATGTTAACACGGGTCCAGAGGGCAGGGGATCAAAAGGACTTAAAATCGACATGCCGCATTCGATTGGAGGAGAGTGGGAGTGGAGAGCGACTATAGGCCAAGTCGGTGCCCAGGTGGCACATGGTTTTGCTGCTCATATGGCGTCGTCCCTCTATGATCACCAAAGTAAGCAAGTGACGGACATCATTTACAGCGGCCCCGGAAGAAGCGCTGCTCTGCAAAATGTCTCTCTGACATTTTGGGCAGCCCGTTTGGCCGGTGGAGGACTCACTGGCGCCGACTCCCATCTTGCAGAGCCCCACGAAGGCTGTCGAGGTGTGATCGCGTCTTGCATGGAGCCGATTGCGGCTGCATAGCTGCCTGTCTGCAGCCCCCGTTCGACTCGCTGCACCATGTACATCCATGGCCGCGCTGGGGTCGATCTGTGCAGCCAGCGGCGCGCCAAGCGGCGCTGACAAAGTGGCCGCCACCGCCCCGCCGCCCACTGCCGCCGCCGCTTGTTGTACAGGGCGCCGCCCTCAAAGTCTGAATGGAGGCGACGCCCGAGGGCCTGGCGGCCGCTGCTGCCGCCAGAGAGGCACTCAAATCCAAGAAGCGCAGCCTAGAGGTGGGTGTCGAGGAGGTGTTGCTTGAGGAAAGCAACGGCGTTGGCGGTGTCCTGCCAACTCCTCACTGCCGCTCCAGGTGCAACCCTGCCTGCCTACCCCTGCAGCAGCAGCAGGAGCAGGCCGCCGCGGCTGAGGCAGCTGCCAAGAAGCCGCAGCCGGAACGGCCGCCGCCGTCGTGCACGCATGAGGTTGCGGTACCGCCAGGCTACGACATGGCAGCTGCCGAGAAGGAGCAGGGCCTCGACCCCGCGCTCCATGGTGCGCCGCCTGTACCGTCTTGCCACCATGCCACGTTCAGACAACCGTAGCTGGCGCCGCCGCTGCCGCAGCTCCCTTGAGCCTGCTTCGCCCTGCCTTGCCCCTCTTAAGCAGAACACACCCCTGCCCCGCCCTCCACTGCAGGCACAATCGAGGCGCCGAGATGGGGTGGCCCACTGGCCAAGCAGTACCCTTTCGTACTGGACCCCTTCCAGACAGCCGCCATCGCATGCATCGAGCGTCGCGAGTCGGTGCTGGTGGCCGCCCACACCTCGGGTGCGGCTGGCCTTCTTTCCTCCTTCCCATCTGGGTGCTTGTGTGCTTGGAGGGAAAGGCTGGGGCAGCCTGGCTGCCCGCAAGGGCGCGGGTCGCATGGCGCGTTGGACGACCGCGTCGCACCTCGGCGCGCCTTCCAGCGGCAGTCGCTGGGCTGCAGCTGCAAGGCTGGCTGCTCGGCCCGCCCACCCTGGCCGGCGCCCTTGCATGCGCTGCAGCCGGAAAGACGGTGGTTGCCGAATACGCGATTGCCAAGGCGTTTGCGCAGGTGGGGGCGGCAGCCGGCTGGTCCGCTGCGCCATGCATGCAGCCCTCCGGGTGACCCCGGCACCCTGCATGCCTCCCCTCTGCTGCGCTGCCGCCTCTCGATGCGTGCAGGTAGGGGCAGCCCGGGGCATGCCCCTCCCCTCCGCTGCTCTGGCGGAGCCTCCACGCGCCATGCGGTTCCCCTTCCTCACCACACACACACACGCACACACACACACGCGCGGCGTGCAGGACGGGCAGCGCGTGGTGTACACCTCCCCTCTCAAGGCCTTGTCCAACCAAAAGTACCGGGAGCTGGCGGAGGAGTTTGGGGACGTGGGCCTGATGACGGGTGGGGTGGGAGGGGGGTGGGGCTGTGGGTGCATGCTCGTGCATGCCTGCCTGGGGGCGCGGGCCTGATGGCGGGCGGGTGCCACAACTGAACTCTTACCCTGTTGGGATGCGGGGTGAGCGGGCGGGACGCATGTGCCCCGACCCGCAGCCGAGCACCCGCTGCCCTCCCCGCCCGGACCCCCCCTCCCTCTCCAGGCGACGTGACCCTGAACCCCACCGCGCGCTGCATCGTCATGACCACCGAAATCCTGCGCTCGATGATCTACCGCGCCTCAGAGTTCCTCAGGTGACAGCTGTCGACAGCTGGCCCACGGGCAGGAGGAGGGCGGCTCCCGCAGCCGCACCCCCGCACCGTGTCGCACGTTGCCTTGTGGGCGGGCACACAGCAGACACAACTGTCGTACAAAGGCATGCGCATGCGCGTGCGCATGCCGTGCCGTGCTGCGCGCATCCGTGCTCACGCCGCGCACACTGCCACGTCACCGCCCCGCCACAACCGTGCGGTACCGCTGCAGGGACATTGCGTGGGTGGTGTTTGACGAGGTGCACTACATGCAGGACCGGGAGCGGGGCGTGGTGAGCCCCCGCTGTGGCTGGCCTGCGTTGATTCCCCTCTGTGTGGCGCGCGTGTGCGCGCGCGAGCTTTGCTTTTGCATGCAATGCCTTGCTGCTGTGTGTTTCGCTCCCAGCCTGGTTTGCATGTTTGATACAAGCCGTGCTTTGTGCTGCCGGCAAGCGCTGTCGTTGCCTCGACACGCCGCACGCGCCCGTTGTGCGGAGGCCCCCACGCCTCGCCTTCCCTTAAACCATGCTGCCCTCCCTGGTGTGGTGCAGGTGTGGGAGGAAACGATGATCTTCATGCCCAAGACAAGCCGCATGGTGTTCCTGAGGTGGGGGGACAGGCAGTACAGTAGTGCAGTACAGCCATGCAGTAGAGTGCTGGTGCCAGTGCACTACGGCTGCCGCGCCGCCGGTCTCGTGCCTGGCTGCCGCCGCCTGCTGCCGCTGGCTGCTGCCGCCCGCTGGCGCCAGCCTGCCACCCGAGCCGGGCTGGCTGGTCTTCCTGCCCGCCACCCCTACCCCACCCAGCGTGCCTCTCTCCTCCCCCTGCCCCACCGTCGTATTGCCTCGTTCCTCCCCCTCCCTCTCCCCGCAGCGCCACCCTGCCCAACGCCTTTGAGTTTGCCCAGTGGGTGTCCTACCTCCACACCCAGCCCTGCCACGTCGTCTACACAGGCGCGCCGGGTGCTGCTGGCTGACCTTCAACACTTTGGTAGAAAGAAAGGACGGAACGTGTCGTGCCGCTGGCAGCTGGAGCGGGCCGGCGGCGTCCATCCAGCCCCCTCCCCTCTATGCCGCTTCCCCCTCCCCTCTGCTGCCGCTACCGGTTGCTCGCCGGCCAACCGCCCTGCCGCGCCCGCCGCGCCTGCCGCAGACTACCGCCCCACCCCGCTGCTGCACTATGCTTTCCCTTCCGGCGGCAAGGGCCTGTACCTGGTGGGTGCTGCTCAGTGCGGGGAAGAAAGCACGTGGGCGCTGCTTTGTGCGAGGAAGAAAGCGCATGTTCCTGAGCGGGCGGCTGCTGGTGCTGACCACACCTGTCCGACTGCGACGACTCACCTTTGCCCGGCGTCCCGCGCTTTCCTCCCCGCCTGGCTTGCCTCAGTTGGTGGATGAGCGGGGCAACTTCCGAGACGAAAATTTCGCCAAGCTGCGGCGGGTGGGTGCTGCCGGGCGGCGCCTGCGTCTGCCGGCAGCCTTGAATTGGCGGCGGTCCTGCCCTTATATCCCACTATCTCCCTTTGTTAGGATGCCCTCCTGCACCATGCATCATTAGGGGGTGTGCGCGTATATGTGTGCCGCCGCCGCAGACGTTTGGATTGTCAGATACCGGCACCGAGGAGGCCGTGCCCGCTCCCTCAGGCAGCGGGCAGCGCAGCGACCGGCGAGACGGCGGCGGCGGCGGCGGCGGCGGGCGCGGCGGGCGCGGCGGCGGGCGCGGCGGCGACCAGGGTGCGCCGCCCGGCCCTCCTGCTGCCGACGGCGTCGGCCCTGCTCGCTGTGCTGTGCTGCGCTTGACATAGCGTAGTGCTCTGCTGCATCAGCCTGCCAACCTGCCCCTGCACCCTGCCTCCCTGGCACTACATCTCTCTCTGCAGACCGCCGCAAGTCGGGCGGGCGCGGCTTCGGTGGGGAAGGAAAGGACGGCAAGCAGCAGGGCCCCAGCACCAGCGAGGACCTGCAGAAGCTTGTCAAACTCATAAAGGACAGGAGCTATGAGCCGGCCATCGTGTTCAGCTTCAGCCGCAGGTGAGAGCCGGGCAGCGCCGCTCGCAGCCTCACTCCCCGCTTTCCAGCAGGGAGGCGAGGTGTGCCGGCTGGTGCCCAACGCTCTGCTGCCTGCCTGCCTGCCTGCCTGGCTGCCATGCACTGATGTGCAGGTGGGCCGTGGCCGGTCGCCGGGCACACCCCACAGAGAGCTGCTGTGCCCTCCTCGCACTCACCTCTGCCTTCCTTGCTGGACCCTCTTTTCTTTCTTTCTTCCTTCCTACTTTCTTCCTCCCTGCTTTCTTCCAGGGAGTGCGAGCTGTACGCCAACGATCTCTTCAAGAAGGCCAAGGTTGACTTCAACACGCAGGCGAGTGCTGCGCCAGAGCTGCGCGGCCGCCTGTGGAGCCTGTTTGAGCGCCTGGCCTAGCAGGAAGCTCCCTCCGCTCTGCTTCTGCTCTGCTCGAGCTGGATTCACTGGTAACAGAAAGCAGTGGGTTCTCATCCGGTCCTGGCGGTCGACCCGTGGGCCGATCGCCCCCTTGCCCTGCGGGCGTTTCACCGGCCCTGCCACATCCTTTTGCAGGAGGAGAAGGATGCTGTGGCCGAGGTGTTCAATTCTGCGATCCAGGTAAGAAAGAAGTAAGAAAGAACCGACGGAAACGTAGCCGCGCCCACAAGCGTGTGCACCTGCCGATGGCGCGGTTGGCAATGCCTGCCGGCATCAATCGCCCTACTGAGTCTCTCAGACAGCCCTCTGTGCGCCACGCGCATACGCTCAGCGCCCCTCGCTGCGCCGCGCCCTCTGCCCTGCCCCCCCTGCAGTGCCTCAAGGAGGAGGACCGCTCCCTGCCCTTCATCACAGCCATGCTGGCCATGCTGCAGGCGGGCATCGGCGTGCACCACAGCGGTGCGCCGCGGCCCGCCTGTCCGCCTGCCAGCCCTGCCCCTGCCTCTACCTGCCAGCCACAGCTGTGCATGCACCCACCCCAAGCCTTCAACCTGCCCACGTGCCACTGCAACCCTTGTCTCTCCGCCGCACACTCGCTCACTATTGTGCAGGCCTGCTGCCTATCCTCAAAGAGCTTGTGGAGATCCTTTTTGGGGAGCAGCTGATCAAGGTGGGACTGGCTGGAGGCCAGGCGCCTCTGCCGGACGCTGCTGCTGGTGCTGCCGCTGCTGGGTGAAACAAGCTCGCCAAACGCCCCCCTCCCCAAACCCCCACCTCCTCCCCCACACGGTTCCCTTTGCTCTCGTCACTCACCTGCATCATTCTGTCCTGTCTTCCTCCCCCACCCACCCAGCTCTCTGCCTTCCCTCCCGCACTCACTCACTCACCTGCATCACTCTGTCCTGCGTTTCTTACATTGCTGCGCACCTCCCTGCCTTCCCTCCCGCAGTGCCTGTTCAGCACCGAGACCTTCGCCATGGGCCTCAACATGCCCGCCAGGACCTGCGTCTTCACCGCTCTGCGCAAGTGGGACGGCGAGGAGAACAGGTGGGGCCTCAGCCCAGCCGGGAGTGGGCAGGCTCGCCTGCCTGATAGCAGCAGGCGGGGTTGGGAGGATGGGAGGCAGGCGAGCGAAGCTTGTGTGTGTGTGTGAGCAGGGTAGCCAGTAGGCTCTGCTGCTGCACGCTTGGCCTTGCCCACGGCTGCCTGCCTAAGCGGCGCGGGTGGCCCGGTGGCGGTACCGCTGCAGGTGGATAGGCAGCGGCGAGTACATCCAGATGAGCGGGCGGGCAGGTGCGCGGCAGCCGCCTGCCTCGCTGTGAGCCTGTTGGCGACTGTCCAAGAACAAGGCTCCGCCGAGCTGCGCCGCAAACCGTTGTCACGCCCTAGCTTCGGAAGTTCCTGCTTCACACCTTGCTTGGCCTTCTTTAGAAATTCCGGTGTACACCACGCGTTGCCTTGCCGCAGGGCGGCGCGGCAAGGACGACAGGGGGCTGGTGTTCCTGATGGTGGACGGCGCCCTGGACGAGCCCACTGCCAAGTGAGCTGCTGCACAGGAGTCGGGGAGCCGCCCCAGTTCCAATGCCTCCCTCGCCCGTGCGCGTGCTGCCCCTTTCGCCTGCGCGGCGTCTGCCCCACCCTGGCTGTGCTGTGGCGGCGCCCCGTCGGGTCCTGAACCCACACACAACACTCGCTGTCGCTCCATCCGCAGCGAGGTTGTCCGGCTGTCCGCATGTTGTGTGCCTGACGCGGTGTGCCCCCCCTGCCTGCCTGCCAGGTCCATGATGCAGGGCAAGGCCAGCCCGCTGCTTTCCAGCTTCAAGCTTTCGTACTATACCGTGCTCAATCTGATGCGGCGCCTGGAGGACACGGGTGCGTGTGGGTGCCCCTGGTACCGCCCCTGGTACCGCGCTTAATCTGCAACTGCCTGCCGCCCAGGCTGTGCTTGCCACCCCGTAGTGCCGTTTTGTCGACCAGTAAAGCTGATATGGGCGCCGGCGCAGGCTGCATGCGCCGCTGCCGCCGCTCCTGCGGGCGCCTGCTGTGCTCCTGCTGCGTTCATGCTGTGCCTGCTGTTCTGTGCATTCATGCTTTCCTCCACGCTGCGCCACGCTGTGCAGAGTACGACATGGAGTATGTTATCGGCAAGTCGTTCAGCCAGGTGTGTGTGTGGGGGGGGGGGATGTGTCTGTGTGTGAGGGAGTGTGCAGCTGCTGGAGCCGCCCACCTGCTGCCTGCCGGCTGCGCTGTGACAGCCGGTGGCGCGGCAAGTCGCGCCAGCTCCCTCCCTTCCCGCCTGCACCTCCCTGCCTGCTCCCTAACCGCAACACACACACCTTCTGTGAGCCAAGCCCGCCTGCACTTTCTTCCTCCCCTGCAGTTCCAGCACGAGAGGCAGCTGCCGCAGCTCGAGAGCCGGCTCAAGGCGATTGAGAGCGGTGGGTGACAGAGGGGTATCGATGCCGGTGAACGGGTGGCACCCCGCCCGGCCTGCTCCTGGCGGCGGCCCAATGCCGACAGCCTTCCTTAAGGCTGCTGCTGCCGCGCCGCCACGCCCGCTCCCTGCCTGGTCACGGCGGCTGGGGCGCGGGCCGAGGTCCCTTTCCTTTCCTGCCGCCGTCTGCCGTGCTGCCTCCCTCCACACACGTACACTTCCCTGCCTTCCCTGCCTGCCTGCAGAATCGACGGCCATCACAGCAGCCACCGACGCGGCGGCAGAGGAGTACAGCGCCGGCAAGCAGGACCTGGAGGAGCAGCTGGCGGTGGTGCGGGCGGCCATGCAGCAGCCGCAGCACTGCGTGCACTTTTTGCGCCCGGGGCGCATCGTGCGGGTGACGGAAGGTGGGCCAGGCAGAGGAGAATGAAGAAAGCATAAGGCCCCTAGCCTCGAATCGGCCGTGAATCGCCCTGCCTGGCGAGGGGCGCGGCACAGCGAGCTGTGCTGCCCACCCCGCTGCCGGGCTGGGCCGCCACGCGGTTGTTGCATTGCCATTGCCGCTGCTGCATTATCTGCGCTGCTGAGCGTGGCCGCCCAGTGTCCCTTTTTCCACCGCCGCCGCCGGCCGCCTCCTTGCCTGCAGGCGCGCGGCAGTGGGGCTTTGGCGTGGTGGTCTCCGCCTTCCGCAAGCAGCCGCAGGAGCGGCAGGGGGTATCCGAGGCGGCGGCGGCGGCATACGTGGTTGACACCCTGCTGTGCTGCGCCGCTCCCTCTGGTGCAAACGGCGGCAGCAACGGCGGCGGCGGTGAGCCCACGCCGGCGGACCTGGCGGCAGAGAATGCGGAGATGCAGGTGGGCTGGTGCGGTACATCAACAGTACCACATGCTGCGTGGCGCTGCCATGACACCACCGGTCGCTTGCCGCGTGGCTGAGCGCCCCCTTTTCAGACATGCCAGAGGTTCAGTCGCCATATCTGCCTACTTTCCGTGTTTGCTTTCCGTGTTTGCTTTCTTTCTTTCTTTTTGATTTCCGGCGTTCTTCCTTTCCACCCCGTCGCCAGGTAATCCCCGTGCCCCTGCCCCTCATCACCGAGATCTGCACACTGCGCATCTCCATACCGGGAGACCTGCGGCCTGCAGAGTCGCGCAAAGCGGGTGGGGTCTGCTTGCCGCCAGCTGCTGGTGATGGTTGGTGCTGCTTGTTGGGGCTGGTAGTGGTGGTGTTGGTGTGGTGGTGGCGCTGCTGCTGCTGCAGCTGCCCCTGCTCCCAGACTGCCCGACTGCCTGCCTGCCCGCCTGCTTGCCTGCCTGCCTGCCTGCCTGCCTGCCTGCCTGGCCCTGCAGTGCTGCTGACGCTGCGGGAGCTGTCCCTGAAGTATGCTGGGGGGCAGCTGCCGCTGCTGGACCCGGTAGCAGACATGGGGGTGCAGGACGGCAAGGTGGGCTACTTTTATATTTTATATACAAGCTTTACATTAAAGTTTTTTATAGTTTTGGGGGGTGCTTTTGGTGGTAGCTGGCAGACATGGGGGTGCAGGACGGCAAGGTGGGCTGGCGGGGGTGCCCGGCTGGTGGGGCTCGTGTGGTGCCCGGCTGGCTGGCTTCGTATGTGCTTCGGGGCGGGCTTGCTTCGTATCTGCTTCTGATGTGAGGCAGGCTGGCTGTTTGTCTGTTCCTTCGGCGACTCTCCTGCCGGGACCTCCAGGGAGGTCCTGGTAAAGCCCGTCTGCAGTGGCGTCTCTGTTGGGTTGTTGGGGGGGAAGAGAGGGCTGGTGAGCAGACCCTCATCCTACGCGCCGCCGCCACGCCGCAGGTGGCTGCCGCGCTGGATGCGGCGGCGGCGATACGGCGGCGGCTGGCCGGCAACCCGCTGTGGCAGGTGGGGGGATGGGGTGGGGGTGGGGCTGGGTTTTTTCATGGCTTGTGT